GAGACTCATGAAGGCTCTAGAAGATTTGAGTGTAATGTATGTTTATACTGTGAGAGGGTCTGATAAGAGCATAGTACAGTATGTTTACGGAGAGAAGTGTGTTGATCTTTGCTTAGTTGAGTGGGAAGATAATATTAGAAGGGACGTTGTTTGTGAGGAACTGGTAAGTGAGTTGAAGATATTGCACAGGCAGGTGGTCAATGGCATTCTGTTTTGTACGCATAGATAAGAGCCTAAAAACGATTCGAGTTGCATAAATGCGAGAGAAGACTCTACGAATTATCAGAAGGTCGATGAGTTTTTGGAAGGGAGAATGGAAAGCTGTGATTCGCTAGCTCTAAGAGACATTTTCAGCACTCACAAAGAAAAGATCAAGTCTGCCTTAATGTCTATTTATAAGTCCAAATTAAATACATTGAAAATTGAGCCTGGCTCAGCGGTGGGAGCTTTGGCTGGTCAAAGCATCGGGGAGCCTGGAACTCAGATGACCTAGAAGACGTTTCACTTTGCTGGTGTTGCCAGTATGAACATTACCCTTGGAGTGTCAAGACTAAAGGAAATTATAAATGCGGTTAAGAACATAAATACACCCATAATTAAGACTAATTTTGTCAAGAATTGGTGGAGGAAGCCAAAAGGGTCAAAGGTGGAATAGACAAGATTTATTTGAAAGACATTGTGTCTTCGATGACAGAGATGTATACACAGAAGGAATTGTTTTTAGAGGTAGAGATCTGCTCATAAACAATTTCCAGTCTAAAGCTGGAGATAAATTTGGTACAAATAAAACGAAAAATAAACTGTGAGTCATTCATAGAGAACAACATAATTACCTTTTATTTAAAGAAGGAGGAAGAAAAGTATTTTGCGGTAGAGGATTTTAAAAGGAATCTGAGAAACATTGTGGTCAGTAAAATACAGAGCTTTGAAAGGGTCATTTTAGTGAAGGATGAGAACTACAAATTATTTGTAGAGGGAGCGGGTCTAAAACAGGTATTTGGAGTTGAGGGTGTCGACTACAGAAGAACAGTTACGAACAACATAATGGAAATGGAAAGACTCCTCGGAATAGAAGCTGCAAGAGAAGTGATTATCAGCGAGATGCAGTACACAATATCTAGCCATTGAATAAAAATTGATCCAAGACATCTGATGCTACTTGCTGATGCAATGGCTTGCAAGGGGGAGGTGCTTGGAATAACGAGGTTTGGAATCAGTAAAATGAAGTTCAGTACATTGATGCTTGCATCCTTTGAGCAAACAGGAGATCATCCATTTGAAGCAGCCTTAAGAAATCGGAAAGACGCTATTAAGGGAGTGAGCGAGTCTATCATAATAGGTGCTCCTATTTCTATGGGAACGGGAAGCGTTGAACTATTCTACAAGGAGTAAGTAAAGTTGGACATGGTTGATTGAGAAGAGGTATGTCTGTGGGACACTGCTTTTATGTCCCGATCCATTTTAATTATAAATAAAGTCTGAAACTGGTTTATATCCCTGCTTTTTATTACAGTGAGTTAAAAGGAGTGTAATCACTTTTACCAAGTGTGCTGCACTGTATTCTTCGTTTGCATTGAGATTCTGTGCGAAATAAGGATGTCCATTTGCCATTTGAACACAATAAGTGCACTGAACATGGTTGTCCAACAAGGAGCATATCCTTTCTCAAATCTTTCCGAAGGGAACAAAAAAAATCGAAGGGCCCCACAGTTGCATAAAATGAAAATCCTCAACGTTGTTGAAAAACCATATATTGCAAAATCAATGAGCTATATTCTAAGCGCCAACTTCCGACAGGTTCGCAGCAACTACAAGTACTGCCCGACCATCCACTTCAAGTCGTTCTTCCAGGGCAGAGAAGCAGACTTCCTTTTCACAAGCGCACTTGGTCACCTGTATACAACAGGTTTCCTGAGTAAGCAACGGTGGGAAGAAGTAGGAGTAGGAAGAAGGAGCTGTTATTTGAGGAGAAAATAGTTAAGTTTGTCAAGGAGGATTTTTTAAAACTGAAAGAAAATATTGAAAGAAACGTTTCACTGGCCGGGCTACTTATAATCTGGACTGATTGTGATAGGGCAGGGGAGAACATAGCCAAGCAAATTGCCAAGGTAGCACTTTCTTTCAAAAATATTGAAATTAAAAGAGCGAGATTCTCCGGTATAAATAAAAGGGAAATAGATGAAACTTTTTCCAACTTGGTCGACATAAACGAGTTAGAGGCAGATGCAATGGATGCGAGGATGGAGCCGGACTTGAGAATTGGATCTACCTTCACTAGGTTGCAAACACTTAGCCTGAAGAGAGAGGTTTCTCTGCCAGTTAAAGTTGTAAGCTACGGATCGTGTCAAACTCCAACTTTGGGTTTTGTTGTCGATAGGTCTGTTTTAATAGAAAATTTTGTAGAGGAAAATTCTTGGTCCCTAGAAACAGAAATTGAAAAAAACAACCTGAAAAATGTTTTTCTGTGGGAGAAAAAACGCTTACTTGATAAAAACTGTGTAATATATTTCCACAACTTTATTGAGAAGTACCCTGCAGTGGTCGTCTGCAGAGAGGACAGGCCTGTTGAGAAGTTCCGACCTCTTCCTCTCTGGACAGATGAGCTTCAGAAGACCTGTGCCTCGTATTTTAAGATGAGCGCACATAGATTGATGGAGATAGCTGAGCCTTTATACAGTAGGGGATATATCAGCTACCCAAGGACGGAGACGGACAGCTTTTCTAAGATCAAGTCGATTCTGAACGAACTAGAAAAAGATGAAAAGGTTGGCGAATATGCTTCAGCCCTAACGAACAGCTTTAAGTATCCAGAAGAGGTAAAAACAACGATATGGCTCATCTACCGATATATCCTTTGAAAAACGGCAACAACCTGTCGGGAGATGATAGAAAAATATTTGAGTTCGTCTCCAGAATATATTTGGTTTGTATAAGTGACATTGCCAGGGGAATTGAAACGAAGGTCGTCCTGAAAATTAGAGCAGAGACATTTATCCTAACTGGGTTGAGAATAATCGATAAAACTACTTAGAGGTTTATTTCTACGACAAATGGGAGAACAAGGCAGTGAGCGACTTCCAGCTGAACGAGACATTCAAAAACCTACTAGTTAAAAATCGTTGATGGGACCACGACGCCGCCAGATTATTTGACAGAAGCAGAGTTGATCGAAGATAGGAACTATGTAAAGAAATACAACTCCAAGATTGTCCCATCGCCACTTGGCAGGGCACTGATCAAGAGCTATGAAGTGTTTGGTTTGGAGTTTAGGAAACCAAGGCTCAGATCAGAACTGGAAATGAGTCTGAAGAAAATAAAGGAGGAGGTTAGGAAGGAGGACGGTTGTTAAACAACAGGTAGAGTTGTATATGGATATTTTTAGGGTTATGAAGGGCAGAATCAAAGACTTTACAGATGTTTTCAGGGACTTTGGCAGTGACGCGCGACCCGATAGAGGTAAAAGGAGGACAGGTTCCAACGACATCCATCTTGACATACAACCCGGTACAATTAAAATGAAAAAGAATAAATCACCAGAAGTTAGTTTAAGGAGGAAAGTAACAAGTAACGACAGTCCAAAAGTAAAGCAAGCAGATCAAAAGAGAAGATCCAAAAATATGGAAAATGAGGTCAAAAGTAAAGCCAAAGAAGCCACAAAAGTACAAAATAACAGCTCAAAAACCCTGAAATGTAAGTGTCGTCGGGTGGCTAAATCCTGTAAAGTCTCTAAAAAGAATAAAAATGAGAGAAGGATATTCTATGCATGTGGAATTTTCCCGAGGAAGTGTGACTTGTTCGTATGGGAAGAGGATGTGGACACCTACTCAGATGAACCGTTTAGAGAAGAGCCTACTGGCGTGAAGTGTCACTGCGGATACGAAACTAAAGCAGCGACTGCACCCACAGAAACAAATAAAGGAAAGGTGTATTTCAAGTGTAAAAAGTATGTAACTTAATGTAATGTAAAAGCCATGTAACTTTTTTCAGTGGAGAGACGGAGTTTTTAGTTGATATGGTCCAAGTTTCTGCCAATAAAACGGTTTATTTACAGCTACAAGCTTTGACTAAGGCTTTTAGATTTCTGTGCCCCACTTATGGGAATATCCGCGACCAGAACGCCGAATGTGCAGATGCTCCTAATACAATTTCATCCTTTATGAACTATTAATATGCAGAAAACTAAAAGATCACAAAAATTTTAGCCCATAGATTGTATTCTCGCAGTGAATCTCTTGAGCATCGCCAATAAGAAAATCAATAAAGAAAACATCGTCTCGCTATACGATTCTATTGGGGCGACGTACGTAGTATAGGAGATCGATAGGCTCATTGTGACCATTGGGGTAGGCCTTTGGACGATCTGGTGGCTGAGGGTAGCAAGAAGATGTCAAGTGCGGCTGTGCCTGCTGCGCAGGTGGAAACGCCGGCAGAGAATAGGGAGGAGACTAAGAAGGTCCCAAAGGTTGAAGAGGACGAGGAGGATTTTGATGTCTTTGCGGACATTTAGTTAATCCTTTTAAATCGTGCTGTATCTCCGGATAACTGGCCTTTTTGCTGGTCAAAACTCTGCGATAATAAATTTATTTTAACCTGTTAGTTCATCGGAAAAAGTGTTCCAAAACATTTTTTATGCTCAGGCAATCGTAGCTTTCTTTGAACAATCCCAGCTTATTCTCATACTTCAGGAATAGCAGTCTTAATCCCTCTTCTGCTACTGCTCTACTATCCTTGGAGATAAAACAACTTCAGAAATACGAGCACAGTTCATTAGGACACACTATGCGATAATCATAAGCTATCTCCTTCATTCTTTCACATGCTCTTTTAGAGTGAGTTGCTATAAGTACGTTTATTACCCCATCTTTACTTTTAATATTGCTAAAAGAAATCGCAATTAGATATTCCAGATTACTTTTAGTAATTATTAAGTCTAAATCTGCGAAGTAGCTAAAAGCCTTAACAAATATCTCTGAAGTTAAACTGCAGCCAGGAGTTACGTATTTTGTATTTAGATAGACAAAAGAAGCTAGCGGATTTAAATCGAGTATCGATTTTCTTATTTCTTTGCTGTTGTCCTGATTTTTTATTATTTCAACTATTATTCCCAAATTTCTGTTTTTTACTGGCTCGCTGCATTGACAATGGTATCTACTGTTGTTTACACTATGACTATCCATGTTGACATCTACAGTGTTACTACGCACATGCATTAAATTCTTAAACTCACTCAAATCAACATCGCTAAACAACCACTCCGCCTTCAGTAATTCCATCTGCACATCCTTCCTAACCCGCTTCAGAACACTTTTGTAACAACATTTGTTCATCACCCTCACCAACACACTCACATCGTCATGAAGCTCGCTAAAATCATCTAGGTTGCCGTTAGTCTCTCTTTCTATAAACAAGTTCTTAAACCTCTCGTTTTCAATTAAACCCCTTAGTATTTCCACGTTTCTTTCTCTGAGCGATCTCTCAAAGACCTTTTCTCTGTTTTTTTTATTCCTTTTTATGCATTGCCACGTTACTTTTGTTTTTAAGTCTTTTAGATTAAAGTACTTCAGGGCTAAATCTATTTTATGCTCGTTTAAATGTTTTAGAATTAGCTCCATTGGCCCCTGGCCAGTTGCACATCCATTGTCGATACTGCTGTGTTCTGGAGTATGGGAACCTAAATCATCCAAAAACGCAAAGGTCAAATCTTCATACTTTTCAACCATCTCCCCTAGAATATCCGCATTCAATTCAAAGCAATGCATCATAAACACAATTCTATATATCCTTTTAATTGCATTGTGGGGTATCCTAGAATAAATATCCAGACATTGCAGATCAGTGTTCTTATAAATAAACACCAAAGCTACTTCTACATCACTCAACACCTCTCTTTTACTTATAATACCCAGCGAATTTAGTTTAACCTGAGTGGAGCCAGTAATGAAACTGGAAACTATAAAATAAATAGATCTAGGGTCATTTATCTTGTGAAAAGCCTCTAGGGCTCTTGAGTCGCCGGAAATGAACATGGATTTCAGTTTATGAAAATAAAGCTCTAGATCGAATAGGGGTAGATCTGGTGCAAATGGAATAAACGATTCTTTACCTTCTAAATTGTTTGTTACCAGATCCAAAACTGTATGAACGTGTCACCCGTATTTAATGTATGAGTTCACTTTAGTATTACGTACAGCATTCTTCCAGATCTATTATTCATTTTCGTTAACATTTCATCAATCAGCTCGATAATTTGATAAATTGTAATGGCATCAAGCTGTTGTATATCCTTGTATTTTTATGCGGTAGTACCAGTACCAAACTGCTCCCTACATCCCAGCTTCCTGATATACCTCTCTGGTATCCCGCTAAACATCCCTGTAAAAACAATCAACTCCTCCATAATGTCATGAAACTCATTGGATACACTCTTATTGTAACACTGAATTACCCTCAACAGGAACAACTTCTAGTCACTTCCAATTGACACAAAATCTAAACACCTCAAAATCTCCATCGACTCCTTTTCAGTTATAAATTTGCAAATCAACAACTCTAAAGCCAGCAACGTTGTTTTATTGAGATAGAAGTAGAAAACTGTTTCTTTAAGCTTGCTACAAAAATCTTTGAACTTCAAAGTGCTTCCAAATGCTTCCACCAATCGGCAGACCAACATGTGACCGTTGTTAATCGATAATGTCCCTTTCCCAACAATAATGTTGGAACTGCTTTACAAAGCCTGTTTAAGTATGTCCTTACTCTTAGAGTAAATCAAGTGATTGGGACTATCTAAAGTTTGACAACGTGTTGTAATATGTAGACAATTATTGAGGGATTATCTAATATATATAGACGATCGTGACTGACTGACTGAGTGACTGACTGACTGAGTGACTGACTGACGCTAATTCTAACAATGTTCCAGAAAGGTTAGAAATCTGAAATTTGGTACACATTTACCTTTTGGGTTGCAGAGTTCAGAAAAAATCCGACTTTGGAGGTACATGCCCTAGGTGTACAAAAAAATATATATCATGATGGATAAGAATACAATAGAGATATCCTGTATCAGTGGTGTAGTGGTAGCACATCGGACTGATAATCTGGAGGCCCATGTTCAATTCCCACCAATTCCATGCCTTTTTTTTCTTCTCTTGCCTTCCATGTCCCGTTGCTTGAATAAAACGGAAAGAAATGGAAAGCTAAAACGTGGCATGGACGTGCCTAACGAAACGATGAGTTCAAGAAAAATGCAACACATTAGATCCATGCCCTGGGGGCATATTCTTGGGGGCTGACGTTTTCAGGTATTTTTTGTCCTGGTGTATTTATTGAGCTAGTGTGTAAAGATGAAACTTGGTACATAATTACCTACCGGGATGCTGCGTGCAGAAAAATTCAGACTTTGGAATGAAATGCCCTGGGGGCATGCATTTCAAGGGGAGATGTTTTCACATAATTGTCGTGGTGAATTGGACAGAAATGGAAAGGTGAAACTTGGCACANAATGTATGAATGAATCATTATCCAAGGTAATAGAGCGCCGAAGGCGCGACAATAGCGAGTTTGTTTGCCCTTGCGCCAAGCCGCGCTCACACAATCACGTAGTTTTTTTTGCATTTTGCCCTCCTTCGGGCTTCGGCATCGACAGCTTCCAACCTTACCGTAGCCATGGCGTCAATGGTGCAACACCAGAGGCCAATCTCTGTGGTTGTCAATATGTCGGTGCAGCCCTAATTTATTAAAAACATTAATAATGGCATCATTTATATTTGAATATATATAATATAATGTATTACATAAATATATTTCTAGATAAAAACTTCTGTAATATAATGAATATGATTGATTTCCTTATAAATTTCCCTTGAGGTGCACCACTGGTGAACCTCAAACTTTCCCCATCAGACCTGGTCCGAAATAAAACTAAACAGTGGAGGGTTAATGCCTGAGGGAGGATTTTTGAACAGAGGACTATCCGATCAGGCAGCTTTATTCTAGGGAAAATATATGATATTTTCTGGAAATAAAGCAGCATTATCGGATATTTCACTGTTCAAAATCTACCTTGAATGTGTGAATATAAATGCAGATATAGATATCGGTATCGGTTATTGGTATCGGTATCGATTCTTTTCCAATATCGGATTTATCGGTATATCGGATATCAGCCAAAATTTAATATCGTTGCATCTCTAGTGGAAACCAAGGATCTTAACTTCCCCAGCTGCTTTCCAAATTAGGAAGATAGGGTGACAAACAATGTAGTGCAACTGAGAAAAATATATATGTACAAGAACCTATAAGATCATGAGTTCATGTAGGGAGCAGCACTCTAACTCAGTAAAGAGTGCACAGAAAGTCAGAAGCAAAAAACATGGCATGGCTGCAAAATGCAAGAGATATACACCTAGTACTTTATACTGTATATTCTGAACACAAACAGCCAACCACCCGCAGTCCTAAATTCAGCTTCACTGAATTCACATCTATTAACCACTTTAAAGTCCTGGGCCGATGATGAAGGATTAATGAAAGTTGGATGTAAGTCACACAATACCTTCCATCTACCTTTCACTCTCTCATCACGCAAGTTCTCATCTCTCTCTCTCCTGCCTCCTGTCCACAACCCATGACTCCGAGGCGATTAATACTTAAAGGAAATATGAACTTCTCTAAACAGCAACTCTAATCACTCAGAACTGGTAGCTCATATGGGCCTAAATTACAGCTTCATAATTCCCTGACCTAACTGTGGCTTTTGTCTTTCAGGAGGTCGTTCCCACTTCCCCTAATGTTGGTCTTAATCTAACAATCAGCACTATCATCTAAATATACTTAAGGATTGGACAGATGGAACAACCAAGGCCAGAAATGAACTAAAGTCTAGTCAAGTCTATGCCTCACTTAAACCTAAGTTAGGCCAAGCATTTACAGCTGGTTGAGTTAATTTTTCATTTCCATGGGACTTCATAATGTACAACTTTAAATCCAGGGCTGAACTTCAAATCCTCCCAAGCATTTGACTAAGTGCATGGATTATGGTTGAGCGCATACCCCCTGATGAACGGGATAATGTGTAGCCCTGTGTTAAGTTTGACCATCATAAGACCAGTTGACTCAGCCCTTGAACTGATGCAATAAATACCCACCATCATGCATCATGTAACATCATAGTACTGCTTCTCCAATCTGCCTCGTGAACTCTTAATTTTTAAGAGGCTTTCAATTTATTTTACCACAGCGCCACTCTACCACACCTTCTTTCTGGGATTTACTAACTTTTGGTGTAAGCCTAAATGAAGGATTGTCCTCCAGTCGGGCCAAGGCCTAGCTTTACTCGTTCAAATGAAATTCAACCCTCGACTTACAGTGGCATTTAGCCCTTTAAGGATGAAACCATGGGCTTTGAGTTGAGGACGTGTAATGTTAAGGCAATCGCAGGCCTATTCATACCTTCACGAACCATTTCAGAGAGGACATGTAACGTTAGACCGATTTGAGGCCTGTTTC